AAAAAGCTACCTTCAGAGTAAACTTTTTAAAACCCTTATCACATTTCCATCCTTAAAATACAAAATAACTGGCCACATTTCCAGGATGAAACACTGCTTGCCCTTTATCTCTAAAAGGGCATGCTTCCTTCCTTCCTTCTTAATCAAGTACTAGATAATAACAATCACATTTTAGAATAGTGGTAGAGTTCCTATTTTCTTTAACTGTGGGTTCCTTTATGCCAGCTCTGTGTTTTAGCAAAGAGGTGATGGATAAAAGCAAAGTTAGCTGGCATTGCTTAGGGTTGCCATATTGCAGATTTTAGTCCCTGAACACAATATACAACTATTTTCTCAGTACAAGTAAAGGGTAGGGAAGCAAGAGCTAAATGCCAGCTATAGTACATCTGTTGGAATATTCATGAGCAGGAAGAGTCATGTGGTAACTCAATCAGCCAATGTGAAGAAAGTGCTACTGAGTCTGTGCAAAAAGGTTATTGAGTTGAAGCTGGTTTTCAGTTTCAGGTCTCAGGTCTGTCTCTGCTGTAAGAAGTCTTCATTTATGCTATGTTGATATGAACAAGAATATATGGTATTGTAAATATTTTTATATGAATATAAAGAGTTTATTTGAATCAGCTAAATGCAGTCAACTGTAAGAGCTTCTGGTTTATTTTTACCAACAGAGAAATTAAAATTCGGTAACAACATCTAAGGTTCTTGACCAAATGCAATACTATGAAAAAAATGAAATTCGAGAATCTTGCAAATTGTATAAGAGCAGAATAAGAGGCTCTTTGACAAAATATAATTATATGTAATAAGGGTTTTTCCCGCAGGAAAAAGAATTAGGGGGTCTAAAATTCCTTCTCATTAATTAAACCATCTATTTCTGTTCTCTGTTCCACTGGTATATTGTGCATTAAAGTTGTGCAGCATACCATCAGAGTTGTGTCCTCTCTCTTGCTTCAGAAGATTGTGATGATAAATAAGAGAAAGTCCAAGGCATAAGAACTCTCCTATGCTCATATCAAATTAGAAATCAGATGATCTAGAAGAGAAGAATTCAACCCTGAGACTTTATCTTCTTGGAAGGCTTAGCTTGGGTCTTGCATTACAACTGTCATCAGAACAATACAGTGTGCTAGTGGTAAAGAATAAAACAGAACTCCCAAGGAAATAGACAACACATATAAACCTTTATGGAAATGTTGACAGTAAATCGGAAAACTTAATATAAAGAACATCTCAGCACATTGAAAACTTTCAAGTTGCAAGGAATGTTTCATGAATAGAATTCAGTTTTGAGTATTGTTATACAATTTTTGCATACTGATGAACAGAATAATGCACTAAGAAATGCCAAGCAAAGCCTTCATTTGAATTTAGTTAATAATAGAACTTGTCTTTGTACAGAAGGTCCCTGGTAAATCTTTGGATATTTCCATTCTTCCTTACTAGAAAACTAGAGTATTTATTTATACTTTTTATAATACTGCAGGACATTCCAAATTATTTGTTGATAGAAAAGCACCAATACAAAGCTCTGCAAATTTGACATTAAACAATATCCAGCATATATCAAGTTTACATTTCTTATGATGGAATACCTTCAAAAACAAAAGAGCAAAAAATTTCCTTCTATATTGCTCTCCTTTTTATTGTACCTAAACCAGACCTTTGATCTGCTTGTTTTAAAATTTCTTTTCCATGCTTGCTACATTTATTCAGCCCACCTGCTTTCAGATCATCCTGTATACAGGGGATGAAGCTTTCGTTGCCCCTTCCACTGACAAGTAATGCCATATCAAATTAGTTTTGGGAAACAGAAATGCACCTGGAAATGTATCATAAGGCATTTTAAGATATAATACAGAATGCCATAAACATTTCCTGTAGTCAGCTCCTGAGGATTAACTGTGCCATATAATTTAACATGGGCTTTTTTCAAGGCAGATATATTTCTGAACATCTCCCTAATTTTTTAAGAATGTTTCAAGTACATTAGAGCTCTGCTATTATTGAAGGCACTGAGGAATCTAGTAAGGAAATATCTCTAAAACCCAAGCATTCATGGGTAGTCTAGTATGCTATATTTTTATATTCTTCATAAAGTAGCTACGCTACTCTCCTGCAGCAAGAAAAAAAAGTCATGGGGGCTTTAAGATTAATTTTATTTTCACTTCCATCTACCGTGTTTCCCCCAAAGTAAGACCCAACCAGAAAATAAGCCCTAGTCTGATTTTTAAGCGTGCTCCTAATATAAGCCCTACCCCAAAATTAGGCGCCAGTTAAAATTGTCATCAGCTCGGGGGGGCGTGGCCAGCACAGGAGGCGGCGAGAGGTCGGGGTCCACAGCTTGTGCTGTGGTGAGTCCTAGCACTGTGACCACCGGGCCGGCCCTCAAAGCAGAGGCACGGGGGGGAAGGCAGGTGATCCCGACGTGCAACGGCACTGGCAGCAGGCAGAGACACGAGGGGGAGGCAGGCATAGGGATCACCTGCCTCCTCCCCCATGTCTCTGCCTCCGCCTGCTGCTTGGACAGGTAATCAACTCACCTGCACTGTGCAGGCTGCGCAGCCCCAGAGTGCGCCTGCCAAGGAGCCAGCGAGCTGCAGCTGCTGCCGGACACCATCGGCCCCCACCCCCTTGCTGCCTCTTGTGTGTGTGTGTGCTGGGGGGTGGGGCACCCAGCCAGGCTGATCACCCTGATACCATGTTTCCCTGGAAATAAACCTTAATGCATCTTTTGGAGCCAAACAAATATATAAGACCGGGTCTTATTTTCAGGGAAACACAGTACATATGCAATATCTGAAGCTGGAGATGCAAAATATTGGGTAGAAATCTGGAAAATGGCAATTGAAGGGTGCTTCTAGGAATATACTGTATGATAGGACAGAGGGTTTTCTCTCAGGAGATGGAGGGGGAAGTGAAATCCAAATTCAGGTGGTTCTAAAATAAGCCAAGCTATCTCTCAATTCTGGACATATCAAAGTAATCCATTCAGTAGCTAAAGGAAGTTTGCCTATCATTACATACCACAGATTAGCCATTTATAAATTGAAAAGATCTTCTCTACATCAGCCCAGTTCATATTTACTTGCTATCACCAAGCACCAAGACAAAGTGGGCATGTTTGAAGCAATATACATCTGAGAGGATATGGACAATACCATCATTTTCTATGTCACCACCCATCTTAGAAATGGCATTTCCATATGTATGAAAGTCCAGAGTGGGATCCTATTTCACTTCAGTTGAGTTTACATAACAGCAATTCTCCCCTCTTCCCTCAACCACCAAGTCTGAAGACCTGAAACTAGAGCCAGAGAAGCAGACAAAATTTAAGTCCACCTTCTACTGCATGTAATTGTGACAACCATGCATTATGGTTGTCCATGCATTATGTTTCCTCTCCTCAATAAATTATCTGCTGAATGTTCTACAGGAATACAATATAAAGATTCTTGATTGTAGACAAGGAAGCTCTAAGACAACAGCCAGCCTGATGGGAGAGAAATCTGAGCCTAAAAGAGTGTGAACTCTTTTACAGACTAAATGCACAAATTAAGCTTCATAGCCAGTGCGGTCTTACAAACACTATTCAGGAAGATTCAAATGCCAGTTCCTTTGATGCTTTGTGAGACACTTTGTTAAGGGCCTTTCTGAACTGTGTCAACAGGAATTTGGGATGTCTCTTCAATTTGAGAGGCAAGAGAAAAACACAAGGCTCACCTGTAGGAGGGGAAAGGGAGGCAAGTGACCAGAAAATTGCACCAATATATAGTGATGTAAACTCCAGCTCTTACTATGGTCTGCAACATTGCAACAGAAATACAAAAGGGCAGAGCTTGTGTCATGATATCACAACACACATTTTGATATCTTTGTGGTTAGCAATTTGATTTTGATTTGATTTGATTTTATTAAATTTATACCCCGCCCTTGATAGACAATCCAAAAGTGGCATGTGTATCTCTAGAATCCCATTTACAGCCAAAATGTTTAGACACCTTTTAATTGGGAGGCATTTTAAGGTATTAATCATCAACCATTTGACTGGGATGGCATCAGGCTCCTGCCTTGAGCAGAGTGTTGGAATAGAAGACCTCCAAGATTCCTTCCAGCCTGATGATTCTATGTTTTATGTTAAACATAAGATTTGGTGAACCTTAAAACAGGCCCGTGCCACTTAAAAGCTTCACTGCTCCAAACATTCCCTACTGGTGGAGTTAAATTTCAGCCCTGCCTTATCTGATGACATTGCAAGCCTCACTTGATATAGTGTCACACCTGACTCCAAAATTACCTGCACCTGCTTTCACTCGCAGCTTTGCCAAACAGTGACCAGAGGAGGGTGGTGAATTCCTAAGGGTGGGGAGGGAGGGAGGGGAGGCTATGGAATGCAAGTGAACCTTCTGTTGCCAGAGAAACGTTATCTACCAAGGCTGAGTGATGAAGAATGTTTAACCGGAGCAGTTTCTCCTAAAGCAAAAGAACTGAACTCAATTGGTGAACTATGAACTGTGGGTGGCCCAGAGGAGAAGATGGGAATTACCTATGTGGGTTTTGCAGGAAAATCCCAAATGAGTTTGCTTCTGCCATGCCTAGATGGATTTTTCAATAAAGCTACACTCTTGGTCAATCTAAAGAGCCGGGAGTTTCTTTTCTTGAAAGTGCCAAATGAAACGGTTGACACATAGCAGAAAGAGCACGGTTGCTTGCTCCCCTGGCTTTTGGTATTCCTATACACCCAAGAGATTGGATGAGTGGATGCTTTCTGATTAAGCATGATCCATCTTAGGGTAAACAATTCGGAAGAGAAAAAACTACTGTCAGAATTCTCCACACATTTTTTCCTCACCTACATCCAGTTCTTAAGGGCTGGCTGAATGAGGATATCCAACTTCAAAGTGCCATGGGATTTATTTCTTAAATAGAGAAAATTGCAGAAGGCTGAATTTGGCAGAAAATCAGAAGGAATAAGGTCGCCCCTTTCCAACTAAAACGTTTTATTAAAAGGCATAAACTTTTATGAACTGCAGCTCACTTAATTAAACGCATGGAGTAGTTAAACCTATGCAGGTTTTATACTGGGAGAAGGCAAGGTGGGGAGGAAGCATGCTTATGCAGATGCAGATATATATGAGACAAATTGCTAGAATATTGAAAAGAGATGGGGAGAAAGTTGTGCCCAGTTTGAAAGAGAGGTCCAATTTGTCTAGGTTGCAAAGACATGTCATTGGGAGTGTAAACTGAAGTGAAAATATTCAAAAGAAATCATACTCCTTTGCCAGAAAAGGCCAATTATGCTGCAGAGAAAAGGAAGGGAGGCAACTGATGCATGCTGTCAGAGGCCAAACAGGCACAGCAGAGGCAAACGGGAGATGAGCCAACCAGCAGTCAAAGGAGATGTGCAATCTGCTGAACCTTCCTCCTCACTTATGTAGGGCAGCGAGGCACTGCAGGTCTCAGTGGTGGGCAAAGTCCTGTCTAGCAGGAACAATTGCTGGACTGTGAATCTGATGTTTCCTTCAGGGCAGTGTTCTTGTGATTGGTGCTGTTCAGGCCAGAGCTTGCATCCAGGCTCTCATTCATCTTCTCACAGATTATGTCCACCAAGCGCTCAAAGACCTGCTTGACATTGATATTATCCTTGGCACTGGCTTCAAAGAATTCTAAACCTGGAAGAAGAAGAATTGTTAAAAAAAGGAGGAGGAGGAGGAGGAGGAGGAGGAGGAGGAGGTGGTGGAGGAGAAGGAGAAGGAGACGCCTGAAGGTGGGAGGGGAGAAAGAGAACGGAGGAGGAAGGAAGGCATTTCTTGTTTTGTTGGGTTTAGGACTGAGGGAGAAGTCTAATCTGGAGGTGTTCCCATGTAAGAGACAAAACAAACCTAGTTCATCAGCAAGTCTCTTGCCATCTTCAGTGGGTATTACTCGATCATCTTCCAGGTCACACTTGTTCCCAACCAGAATCACTTGAGCATTATCCCAGGAGTAAGTCTTGATCTGAGTTGCCCTAAGAGAGGGATACAGAAAAATTCTGGAATGGATTTGCTATTGAATTTGTAATTTCACAACCTAAAAAGAAGAGTCAGTGACAGTCACAAGGCAGAAGAATCATCCTTGTTTCATCAGTTCATATACACTATTATTTCCAACTTTTGAAAAAAGGAACAATGTTGATTTGAATGGTGGTTGATTTCCCCACTTTCCCTAATTGACAGGAATGGAGAAAGGGAAATCTGAATCTTTAGTGTCTGCACACGCCCAGAATGAGATACCAATACAAAATCTATCACTTGGCTTATTCAGACAGGAAGGTCTTAACTCTCTTAACTTCTTCTGCAATCATCCCCACTGGTGTCATCAAATGATGGTATGCCTGATAGCAGAAACTATCAGTTAGTAGACAACAGCCTACAACTGCCAGTGCCACTCAGCTTTTTAAGATGAGCTTTTGAGTGCACGAGTTACAATAATTCTGGAAGCTCTTTTTAGAACTGCAGTGGACTAAGGAGAAAAAAGTGTGATCCCTACAAGGGTCAGGATGGATGGGTAGTTCCCAGAGGGTGAGGAATATGGTAGTGGACATATCAGAAGAAAAATAATATGACAGAAAGAAGATGACTTCTAAAAAGAGAAGGGAATGGCTTCTAAAACAGAGTCATAATTTGGAGTTTGAAGAATTTTTGGAGTAAGTTGTGTAAGCAATGTGTTTTGTTAGAGTAAGTTGTATAAGCAATGACTGGAGAGATTCTTGTCATTGTTTCAACCATTGGTGGTGGAGTAGTTTGCAGAAGAATTGTTCGTGTTCTATTTTGAAGTGTTTTGATGGGTGGTTGGGGAATGTGGTTTATTATATGAAAAAGGAAGAGCTTGGAATTCAGTTAGCAGATGCGGGGAGATTATTAGTGGTTGGGCCTTCAGCTTATTTATGGATTAGAATTTCAGGAAAAGGGTCAGTGAATTATTGGAGGGACCATTCTGGGACCAGAGACAGTCATTTCAGAAGATTTGCCCAGGCAGGTAGGGCCAGCTTTTCACTGAAGCCCAGTGTAGAAAGTAGAGCAGTGTTCTGCAACCTCAGCAACTTTAAGTTGCATGGACTTCAGCTCCCCAAAGTGCCCAGTCAGCCTGTTTAGGGTTTTCCCTGAGGACCTGGTAGGCAGTTTGGCCAAGGCTTTAGTCACTGCCTAGTATATGGGTGGGGGTCTGGAGTCTGGGATCATATCCCCTCTCTGCTGCTTCTCCCTGTGTACTGATCCTGATGTCATTGGGAATCAGGTTGCATATACATTTAAATAAATAATAAATATCACTCATCAAACAGGCACAAGTCAGAATTTTGGGGGAAAGTTTCAACCAATCGACAAGGACTCTTCCTGCTCTGGAGAGGGATATTTTTTTTCTGGAAGGATCAGGTTGTGGGCTTAGGGTCAGGACCTGTGCCATCCAGAATGCCAAACTCAGAACAGTCATTAAAAGTGTTATTTCCCACCTCTGTATGACTTGTCAATTTTATCCATTCCTAAAGAGAGATAATCTGGGTGTTCTTTATCTTCTGGTTATTTTCTTCTAGCCTATGTAAGGATTCCCAGATACTGCAATAGGTTTAAAAATAGCAGCCAGAACTTCTCCAGCACATGGCATCTCTTCTGATTAAGTTGGCTCCAAGAGATTTCCAATGTAAGGTACAGTGTTATTTCATCTAAATGCCCAAATGGCTTGACCTCGCCTGCTTTCCGCTCTAAGTGCATCCTTCTCTGTAAAGTCTGAAATCCGTAAGAGCTTTTCAGTGCTGTGGAATTCCCTTCCTTGGCTCTTCAGTCTGCTTGCTTTCTCGTGTTCTAGGACAAGGTTGGTCTCACTTCTACACTAGCTTATCCTCCACAGAAGATGCGTTTTTAACTGCTATTAATCTTTTAATGCTAAAATCATAATTGTTGTTTAAGGATTTGGCCCTTTTTATGTTATATATATTTGGGATGTGGATTTGATTGCTATTTATTACATTTTGCTGGAAACCACTGAGACTTGGCTTCTTGCTATTGTTCTTGTTTCCTGTTCTTTTTCAGGATGTTTCCTAAGTTTCTAAGTTACAAGATAACATGCCAAACTGCCACAGTGAAATCCACCGTCTAAATTAGGACTAAGGGACTGCTGGAATTGGACATACAGTACTTACAACATTCAGCACTTGTTTCTTAGTTTGGATGAATATACCGGCTTGCAGGTTAGAAATGTTGTAAAGCTATACAATACTGCTAAAAGCAGCCAAGAGTTTTATATCAGTGTAAAAGCTAGTAGACTGGTACTGTTGAGCTTTTATGGATCAGGCAACACCAAAAATGTGGGATTTCTTTTTTCTGAAATACTGTATTTTGGAATATTTGCAATCATGTAACAATTTTCTCAGCTACGGTAATTTGAACAAAGAGATTCCAGACTTTCTCGAAGACTAATGTGAGATAAATTTGCAGCAAAGCATTCAGTGGCTAAAAGATCTATGTCCATACTATAAAACTGAAAATGTTGGTGACTTCTTTGCTTTACTAATTGAGACTTGAGACTAATTGAGACACAGTGTTTAGTGAAAAGCAGAGAGAAAGATGGTGTGGTATGGAATGCCAGTTTTCATCTATAATCCATCCCAACAGTTTACTGTCTAGTCAGTATTCTTTCTAGCATGAGATTGGCTCACAGTAAGTTAGATACCACATAAAGATTACATACATCAAATCAACATGGTTAGGTTTCTGCCTGAAGACCTGCCTAAGCATCTGGGGTCATTTTCCCCAAAAGGCTCTCTTCTACTATAAGGCATATTAAGTATATTTGGTCACCATATTATAAAAAAGATGTTGAAACTTTGAAAAGAGTGCAGAAAAGAGCAATAAAGATGAGCGAGGGGCTGAAGACTAAAACATATGAAGAACGGTTGCAGGAATTGGGTATGTCTAATCTAGTGACATTTTTCAAAGCACCAGAAGGCAAGACAAGAAGCAATGGGTGGAAACTAATCAAGGAGAGAAGCAGTCTAGAAGTAAGGAGAAATTTCCTGACAATGGGAACAATTAAACAGTGAAACGGCTTGCCTCCAGAAGTTGTGGGTGCTCCAGTACTGGAGGTTTTTAAGAAGAGATTGGATAGACATTTTTCTGAAATATTATAGGGCTTCTTGCTTGAGCAGGGGGTTGGACTGGAAGAGCTCCAAAGTCTCTTCCAACTCTGTTATCCTGTTAAGCAAAAATTGTACAGCAGAAAAACCTCATATTTGGAGTGTGAGGATAATCCAATATCCTGCTCTAATATTCATGACAGATATTTGTGGCATATCAGATTCTTAGATATTTCAAGGATCTTGAAACTATGTACAAGCAACAGACTCTTCCAGTAGCATAGAACATTACCACATCAGCTAGATTGTACAGGTAGTTCTTATGACTGCAATTGGGAACAGAATTTTGGTCATAAGTTGTGACAGTCATAAGTTGAGACATCCATGTGACCAGACCTGACTTTATGATTGTTTTTACAGTGTTCAGTAAATAATGTATTCAGTCATAAATGCAAATCTCTTCTCTCAAATGGGCATTTGTTGCAGAAACCAGCAAAAACATTGGAAATCATGATCATGTGACTACAGAATGCTTTAACCCAGTGTTTCTCAACCTTGACAATTTTAAGGCATGTGGACTTCAACTCCCAGAATTCCACAGCCAGCATTGGGAGTTGAAGTCCACATGCCTTAAAATTGTCAAGGTTGAGAAACACTGCTTTAACCAGTTAAATGTGAGCCTGTTACCAAGTGCCTAAAATGCAGTCATGTGACTGAGGGGGGGGGGGAGAACGGCACAGCACAATATTGTATAACAGCCAGAAGTGAGAAGAAGAGAGCTATAAAGGTCTCTTTCTGAATCTGTCATAACTCTGAACAGTTGTTAAACACCAGTCATGAGTTGAGGACTACTGGTGTACAATGGGGGCATGTATCCTGATTTATAATAAGTTGCTTTATAATGAGTCAGTTGATAAAGCCATACAATGTCACCTGTTATGACTGGCAGATTTATTTTGGGCCCTGATATTTCCCATTAACTGGAGACATCAGTAATGGAACCTAGGAGCTGCTGTGCACATGAGACACTGTTCTCCAACTCAGCTTTGGCCCCTTAATGTACTGGTAAGGAATTCTGGCCCTGAGCAAGTTCCTAAATAGCAAGATGGTTACATTATCAACTGAGCACATTTCAAAGTCTGTTTTCATAACTGGAAATAACTCTCTTGACAGAAGAAGTCCCTGTTCCAACTCAGGATTCTGTGCAGCAAACCTTACCAGTCTTGTACAGCACTGAAAGACTCCTGGTTGGAAATATCATACATGAGTAAAAAACCCATTGCTCCCCTGTAGTAGGCTGTTGTGATGGTCCGATACCGCTCTTGGCCAGCTGTGTCCTTAGAAAGACAGAAACAGAAAAAGGACACTGTTTGTTAGATGACTTCCCCTTTCAGACAAAGCCCCCAGGTAGAGATCCCTATCTAACTACTTGTTTTGTCAAGCCTTGAAGTCAGTTTCATCTATCCTCTTTTTTTCATTATCATCAGAAATTTCTGTGACCTCCCATCTTGCCTACTTATGTAATAAATCAACCTATCAAGCAGCACCCCACCCCTAGCTCAACATAGCTCTTGTATCTGCATTGATACAAGAGTCTTTTCATTTTTCAGACTAACCTGTGGCTAACAGATGCAGAGTATGCCCAACCACAGTCGATCTCAAAAGTTCAGAAATCCCATTGGGGGAAATTGATAATCTAAAGCAATTCTATTTGTTCATGGTTTCAAGCAGTCTCTGAGAAAACATGACAATCAAGTGAGATAAGGCCACCTACAAAGCACAGGCACAGAAAGGCTATGGAAGAGCATATGGAGACTAGACTCCTCCTTGATTCTCCTGACATCTGTTCCTGGAGCCCAAAGACTCACTGTTACTGTGGAAACCAGTGCTTACTCTGCAGAGCTCTGACATACAATCTCCTTTTACAGTAATCTCTGGTTGAGGGCAGCATTTCCAGAATGGCACTGGTGTATGTGAGGGTTGGCATTTGACTCTAATTAAAATTTAAAGAGCTTGAAAGCTTAATGGAACATTTAAATGAGGGAAAAGAGGACAGCAAACTGGAAATGGGTTGCTTCTGATGCATTATCAAAGACTAAGGGTAGAAAGGACAGCAAGTTCCTGACCTAAAAGGTTCACTAGTGTGGAAATGCTTCCCCAGTGTGGAATTGTTATCAAAGCACAGACCATAAAGCCACAAGAGGACAGAGATTCTCGTCTACACTTCAGCTTGTGAGGATTTTGGCCTGAGGGCTCTTTTGATGGAATATTCTAGTCTGTCCCTTCCTCCAAAATAACCACATGGAACAAGGGCCAACCCAACAATGAGAAAAATCAGAGAACTATCTTTTCAGTCTTATGGGGCAGTATGCAAATATGCAGATCCAAAGAGAGTCATTCTTTTCTTAGAAACAGATGGTGCTTTCTCCAATTTAAAAAAGCACCATTAAGGACTGCAGACTGAAGCTATAGACAATTAGCAAATTGCATACAAGCTGTATGGAATGAGCCCACCTAGAGCAGACTTTCCCAACCTGTTGCTCTGATGCACTGCACTACAATTCCCAGAACTTCTTAGTCAATATAATGGACCCTCATACCAATATGGCACAATAGTATATAATTACTAGCATTTTTTTAAAGAGTTGACATCTACATTGTGCCTCAAGAACATCAGCATTAATCATATTTTATTAATGTTACAGACATCCACTAAACAGTTACAACTCTATGTATAATTATCTAACACAAACATTCATTATTCATTATATTATTCTAATACACGTATAATGACTAGCATGCTTTTTAAACCTATAGTACTTTGAAAAAGAGTTCCCATTTCCTTATATATATCCATACAAAATCTATGTCTATAGGCAATCCGTTAATAGATAGCAAATATAATCCGGTCTTCAAACCATTGAGTAAATGGAGCCTTACATTTATCTTCCAATGTTGCAGTATCAGTCCTTTAGCTAAAAGTGGATGGAGAAACCATTTATATTGTCCACTTGTTAAATTCCATGTAGTATGAAGCTTGTTGAAGAGAATATTATCCTCTGGACATTTTAGCTTTTGTTGCACAGTTATATTTATATATTTCACTACTTTTCCCCAAAACTTAGTAAGTATAGGACAGTGTCCTTATTACATCTCCAACAAAATGCTCTTAGATAATATTTTTCTATACAAATACAATGGAGTTCAATAAATTCTAAGTATTTTTTATGTATAAATTGTAGATTTATGTCCATTGACATTTTAGGTATAGAAGTTAAAACACTACCCCATTGTCTAGGCAATATAGGAACTTTATTGTAATTCTTTATCCTACTCATTTCTTACTACCTGCATATCAAATTGATTAATTGATAACAAATATTCATAGAAACCTATAATAGGTTTTCTAATTTTAAAAGATTTAACCAGTTGTTTTGATATCTAGGATGTCTCAGAAACTGCAAATGGTGCTGGTTCAAACAATGTTGTTAACAGATGTTTTACTATAAATATTGCAACTGAGTTACATTTGATAAATATATGTATATACCTGAATAATGTTTGCATTAGATAATTATATATACAATTGTAGCTGTTTATTGTCCCAACGTATTATACTCTATATCTGTTGTGTTTTTTCATTTATTTTTAAACACTTGCTATATATTTTGATAATGTATATATTTTTGTGTTTTGTTCCTTCTGCTTTTTTCCCTTTTTCTGTTATTATTTTAAAAGCAATAAAAAAATTAGAGGCAAATGGCCTGTTCTGATGCAGCTAGCTATCACATCCCTTACAGTAGGGGTCCCCAAACTCCGGGCCACAGCCCATTGGGAAGGGCCATCAAAATGGCAGGTGAGTGCGCAAAGCTTCATTTGTACATGTGCAGGATTTAGGCTTCACGCACGAAACCATTCCCCTCCCCACTTTCAAAGCTGCCGGTCCTTGCAGCCAAAAAAGGTTGGGGACTGCTGCCTTAGAGATCACAAGGGAGTGTAAAAGATACACTAGGAGAGAGATCATTCAATCTCTCATTCAATTGCCTGTTCAATCCTGGCTTTCAGGGGTTCTATAGTAAAAGGACCTTCACCTGTCTAGCAAGGGAATTCTTAGACATTCTACCAAGAAATGATTTTACACTAGATAATGAATTATACCTAAAACCTCATATGCAGTCTAGCTGCCTAACCATGCAATCTTGCACATAGTGAACATTTTAAATAAGAAATGTCTTATTAAACCAATGAAACAAAATCTCTCTACATAAAAAGGAAAAAGAATGTAGAAAAAAACAAGGGAAGATTTTATACAGGATTCCAAATAAAAATAATCAAGACCACTCCAAAAAAAAAATCAATGCAGCCTAACTAGGTCTGATATTTATTATTTGTTTGAATAAGATACTGGGTTTTAGTGCATATTGTTCCTTCCAATATAGAACAAACTCTGAAGACCATCTAAAACCACATGGGTGGGTATTGTTAGGCCGGCCCTATTTTTCTACTCTTTTTTCCTCTCCTTGAGCACTATACTCAGCTTTATCAAGGAGCATAAATGAAACCAGCCTTTTTCACAAAGTGTTTATTGTTGTTGAAAGATGCTCTATATCTGGTGTCACATGTAGGAAGCAAACCAAAATTATCTAGTGGTTAATCTATCTTTTCTAAGAACCCTTAGTCAAATGATGAAAGTGCTGACAAGTTGTCACTGTTATACCATTGTATAGAAAGTATATATATTCCATTTATTCAAGCTTTTCAGCATTGAGTTAATTTACAAATGTTTTAAATAAATTGTTGCATCCTATTAAAGATTAGGGAGTTGTCACAGGGTGGGAGATACTTGGTATCTTTCCCTCTATTAAAGTCATGGCCCCTTGGGTGACATTCGGTGACAACATCAGCAGCTTCTGCCTGTGCATAATGCTGCATTGAGCATGTACACAAGATTATCACACGGTTGCCAAATATCTTCTCTTATTAGTTGATACTAATAAGAAACAACAAGCCCATGAAGCTTGGGGCCTTAAACACACCAGAATAGCAAATTATCTGGCCTCACTGCTCAGTGGCCCTGGCAACTGAATGATGTAGGCTCTGTGCTTTGAGTCAAAAGCCATTGTGTAAACTGATACTTGGATACCTCCAGCCAAGGTCCTACTCCATTAGAAGATGGTCCATTACAATAATAATTTAAACCATTGCAACAAAAAGCATTCATTTAGGTTTTTCCTGTGTTACCTAACACCTAAATAATAGTCAGTTAAAACACATTTTAATTGGATCCATCTTATTAAAAAGTGGGGAAATAATATCAGCTGAAAAATTAAAACAATGGCAAAGGTCAGGAAAAAAGTTAAAATTTGTTTTATTCAAATGCAGATTCATTTTTAGCCATATTAAACATATTTAGCCAGTTTGGTATAGCAGTTTAAGGCATCAGGCTAGAAACTAGGAGTTTTGTCCTGCCTGAGGCACAAAGCCAGCTGAGTGAACACAAGCCAATCACGCTATCTCAGCCCTGTGGATCAGACAATGGCAGACCACTTCTGAAAAACCTTGCTAAGAAGACTGCAGAATCTAGGCCAGGAAGTCACTAGGAGTCAAGCCTGACTCAAAGGTACAAAAAACAAAAACATTGTGGAGTTTCTGCAAGTTAAATATAATAACAGACTGTTAACAGATGGCTTTGAAATTTATTTGGGGGATTTAACAGTTAACAGCTTGCTTTCAGTGAAGAGGTATTGGGTTGATTTGATTGACAGACAATAGATTTATATATTTGGGATATTTGTTAAGAGAATGTGTTGTAAAATAGTAATTTAGCAAGTATAGATGAAAAAGATATAACTATTTTAGACCTGCAATGCAAGTGTGTGTGTGTGTGTGGGGGGGGAGCCTATTAGATTTGTGTTAGATACAGGTATCATCATTCTATCTAGGCTGGAGGTTATATGTTTACTATTAATTTTATATTTGTTATATACACTTTTTTTCTTCCTTTTTTGTGTCCTGTTTGTAATTCTTGGTTTGTTGTTTTTTTCATGCTGTATTTTGTATTCCATCTTGGGGGGAAAATAAAAAAGAATTATAAAACAAAAATAAACAAAAACAATAAAAGTGTTGAAATTAATCTTCACATATATCTTTCCAAGAATAAATATTGATATGGCTGTTTAAAATATGCGTTTTTAAGTTTACAAATCTATTCATACATACTCTCCCTTTGGCCTCTCTAATTACACCTATTATTAACACTTTCCAATGCCTAAAGACTAGAAACATTCTATCAGTGTCCCACTTTTTAAGAAAGGCACTAGTATGATAATTTCTCCAATTATCATTCAGTTGGAAATTGTATGGATGTTTTATGTTTTATATACTTCTGGATTAGCTAGGAGACATTAGTAGTTGATAAATGAGCAGGCAACGGAGAAGGCAGGTCAGTGGCTGATCAATGTGCAATTTAGAGTTTCTAGTACAGAAATTCATGCATGCTTATTCCTGCTTCCCTGCAATCAAAGGCTGATTCTAAATCAATAAAAGCAACATCCTGGGAAGGAGAACTGAGGATTCCAATTGCTTTGGAGATATTTTCTTCAGTTTTAGTTCTTACTCAAGAAATCTACCTCACTGCTGACAACATGCATGTTGGCCCATCAAATGATATGTCATGAATCAGCAGGAGCACAGAATATAGTTTTATACCAAATGAGTACTGTACTCTTCCTTTTCATGTAAGGGGAAAAACTCTTAAAGATGCTGAAATGTAAGAGGATATGTAATGATTACAGGTGAAACTCGAAAAATTAGAATATCGTGCAAAAGTTCATTTATTTCAGTAATGCAACTTAAAAGGTGAACCTAATATATGAGATAGACTCATTACATGCAAAGCAAGATAGTTCAAGCCGTGATGTGTCATAACTGTGATGATTATGGCTTACAGCTCATGAAAACCCCAAATCCACAATCTCAGAAAATTA